CGGCGGCGGGGGACGCTTCCCCTGCTTTCCCAGCCCGGCCTCACCTGGCCTTTGATGAGCGGCTTAGCGCCGATGGCCTTCTGCAGCTCCTTCACCTCCTTGGTGGGGCCGGTGATGAGCGAGGTGCCCGTATCCACGATGGCCTCGCAGCCCCCTTTGCACAGGGTCAACCCGTTGGCGACGTCCACCCTAGGGAAAGGTGGGGCAGGCAGAAGCCAGCCCTTTGGTCAGTCAAGAGCGACGGCTGGGGACGGGAGGCAAATAGCCGAGGCGGGAACGGAGCCCGGGCAGCGTACGGGAGGGAGGGCTGCGGCAGGGGCCCGGGCCGAGGGCGAGGACGGCCGCTCAGAAATCCTGACGCAGCCCAGACTTGGTTTCTTTTCTGTGGCGCGCGCAGTCCCTCCGGCTCCACACGCAGCCCTCGCGTGCCCGAGCTGGATTTCTGTATTGCTCCAGGCAGCCTGCGCTGCTCTCTTTGCGTCCTGCTCTCCTGCTCGCGCTCTGGAGCAAGCACCGCGGCTCATGGGCATCCGAGCGAGCAAACAGCCGTGCGTTAAGGGCTCAGATGACCTGGCGTTTCTCGCAGGGGCATTACGCAGCAGCCTGTGCTGCTGTGAAAAGCAAAGGGTTAAGGCGGGGGGGTGTGACAGCTGGGGAGGGGGGGCTGCGGACGAGCATAGGATTTGCCTACGTTAAACAGGCAAGACAGGAGGTGCCCGGCTTCTTCACCCAAACTGCATTTCACAGCAATGTGGACAGGTAAAGCCTTCCAGCCCAGGGGCTCGGCACGCTTCGCCAACGCCGCATGACTTGGGGAAGATGAGAACGAAAACCGTGCGCTGGGGGAGGGCTCAGCAAAATGACACGCTCTGATCACAGGCTGCTTTTAAGTTCCCATCACGTGGGAGAGCTCAGAATAGACCGCGGGCTCCCAAGCTAGCAGCAGCCCTCCGCTCAGACCGCTCAGTCACGCTCATTCTCCTTCCCTCGGCCTCCACAATGCGCCGTGATTGCTGCGCCGTGTCCTTCAGCCAAGGGCTGAGGTGCTGGGGCCTCGCTCTGCTCCTCCTGAGCTGCAAGCAGCCCTGGAGGGACACCCGAGCAAAGTGATCCGCCTAGCTCGGTGCCTGCCGAGAGAGGCAAAGCTGGGGCTTTATCCTAAGGGTTCGCCCCGCTTGCAGGAAGGACGGGACGCAGTTTTTCCTTGCTTTGCAAGGGCGCAGCGTGCATTTTCACAGGCCATGCTGTAAACAAGAGAGAAGGATTTCACAGAACTGCTCCTGCTGTTTCCTGCCTCTCCTCACTTTCCAGGGACAAACAACCCAGCCATAGGGTGGGATTTTAATCTGCTTTTTTTTGGCCTGGCTCTGTTGCAGGAGCTCTGTTGCAGAGCTCTGCATAGCAGACAGTTCCCCTTTGGGGAGGCTCTCGGCTCAGGCCCGGGCACGACTGATGTAGGGGCGCCCACACACGTGTCTGCATGGGTACAGTGAGACAGAGGAGGCACTCACGCATCCATGTGGACCTGCCAGTAGGCTTTGCGCGTGACGTTCACCCAGCTGAAGTCACCGCTGTAATACTTGGGGTCAGTCCCTCCCAGGAGCAGCTCCCCACCAGGCTGAGCTGTGGGGTCCCTGAAAGAAGAGCAAACCCATTAACGTCAGGGTGGGAACACCCCCCTCACATGCCCTCAGGGCGCGCAGAAACACATGCGGGGACAGCGGAGGGAAGCACAGCATTAGTAGCATCGGATCCAGACAACTGGCACCGCACTGTATCAGCGAAAGGGAGAGACACTGCGAGTTAGGCTGAGGTGGGGAAGGGGAAACTGGAAGGCTTCAGCTCAGCCGAAACATCCTGCAGCTTTTCACTGAGGCTTGTGCATGGAGACCTGAACCAACTCACTGCAGCAATGGAGGTGGCAAAGGGAAGCTGAGAACTGAGCACTGATGCCCGGACCCCCAGAGAAGGCCCTTCCTTCAGCTCATAACCAGCATCCGTGTGGGGCTGGACACGGCCGATGCCCCAATAGGTTATCTGTGCCCGGCTCTATTACAGCCACCGGCTGCAGCGCCGAATCCTCAAGGTTACCCTACGATAAAAGATTGCTGCCGAGCAGATGGGAAGAAATATGGTGAAGGGAGAGGGCCGGCTTTTTAGCTGCCAGAAGCAATGGTCTCTGCCCTTCCCCTCCAAGATGTGCTACTTTTCAGCTAGAAGTAGTTCAGGGTCTCCCCGCTGTGCCCGGAGGGGGCTCGGGGTGCCGGGGCTGAGTAGCAGCAGGTGGGAGAGTGCCAGGAACAGCACCCTGGGTGGGTGAGGGAGCATCAGCCCATCTTTAGCAATGGGTGGCCTGGTGTGGGCTCGCCTGTGAGGTGATAATGGTGCGGGCCACGTAGCCTGTGGATTTGGGGGCTGTGTTTACCCCCCTAAAGGACTCCATTAGGAGCACCTGATCTCATGATCATAGCACTCTTGATTTTCATTCCTCTTTCCTCTGGAAACATCTTCCCTCTCTTCAACAGCTAAAAAATCAGGTAGTGAATCTACCCAGCTTTTTATCAGTGAAACGCCTGTGTTTCTGCATCCCCTTTGCCTACTTCAAACCTGAAAAGAGAATTGGCCTAACTGCTCCAGCAAGGAGACCGTGCTGAGAGCTTTCCAACAGCGCTGGCCAGGGCAAAGTTACTCGGCGCTGGGCCCCCTGCTTAGCCTACACCAGTGACTGGGTACCGGGCATGTGTGGATGCTACACATCCTCAGGTGCCACCGAGGTGACCTCCCTGGAGGATATGGCCCGGGGGGACTCCTAGGGGCAGCAACTGGCACAGTGACAAACGCACCATCCCCAGGTGATAAAAGGCCACCTCCTCCGAGGGTGTAAATCAGCACTAAGAATTGAGCTGTCCTGGTTTCCCCAAACTGAGGAGCTGGCCAGAGGACTGAGATAGCAGGTTAGCGCAGAAAGCAGATGGTCCCAGCCTTCAGAAGATGGCTAGAGGTGAGCAGAGAGCAGAAATGCCCACCTGGGCTTGCCCTCGCCATAGAGCTGCTCCCCACCGAGCCCCACGCTACCTGTTCAAGTAAAAGGAGAAGATGTTTTTCTCAATCAGCTTCTGCTGCATGACGTTATCGAAGAAAGGGGTGACCTTGTCCACAGAGATCTTTGGGAACGCCATGCCCAGGATGCCATCGAACTTGGCAGCAATGAAGGTGATGCCTGGCTGCTTCACGGCCTCCCCAAACATCTGGTTCTTGATTTTCAAGTCACCCAGCTGAGGGGAGGGAAAGGAAAAACAAGTCGTAAAGAAAACCGACTCAGGATCTCGGTGAGCGCAGAGGCTGTAGCACGTCTCGCACAGCCACGCTCCTGCCTGCTTCGGCACGGACGTTTGTACGGGGCTGCAGAGACCAGATATGCTTGTGTCACCCTCCCCAGAGGAAGAGGCAACCCTAGGTAGCCACCAGCACCTCCTACTGTGTTATTGCCTAATGCATCCTTTTCTTCCAGTCTGAGCAGCTCTTGTTTCACTCCTTTAATCCTTCAACAAATTCCTCCCCACTGTCTCCCTATTGTGGACATCCAACTCCTCTCCCTGTGTCCTGCCTCCTCGAATGCTGCACACGTAACCAGTCTGGACCACAGATTCCTCCCACCCCTAGGCACGGCCCCTGTGATCTCCTCCGTATCAGGATATTCCTCCCTTTCCAGAAGAGATGCCAGCTCACGGAGGTCTTGGCGGGTAGGGGGAAGACCTAGCCGGGAAAGTGAGGGTAGGCCTGCAGCACAAAAATAGTAATCGCAGTAATGTGAATGCAAAGGTCACCTCTCTCGCCAGACATTAGGAGGCCTGATGTTTGCTGTCGGAAAGCTGAAACGCCTTGCTTTCCAGCAGGCAGAGCGCGAGGGCAGATCCCCAGCTCACGGAAATCAGGGGTAGCTCTCCCGAAGGGCCGGCTGAGCGAGGACGTGTCTGCTGGCCCCCGTCTAGCAGTTCACAAGGCTGCAGAGCGTCAGGCTCACCACAGGCAGTTTTAGCACGGGCTCTAGGATGACTTCAGCCTCTCTGGCTCCAGCTAACGGCCCTGCAGTGAGCTGGGCTGGACTGAAAAGCTCAGCCTCTCGTACCTGACGGCAGATAACGATCCCTGCAAATGACTAATATCCCCGCGGGGCTGGACAGTGCTCTGCGCAAGGCCGCCTGCGCGACCGGCCAAGCGCAGGGCGGGCAGCGCCGACGTTATCGGTAGCTAGGCTTT